CCAGAAAGCAAGACTATATTCAGTTAAAATTTCATGTAAATTGGTTGGATATTTGTTGAGTTATAAGCCTGTACATTCAATTCTTTCAAACATTGAGCTGGTTTTGTAAGTCACTGTACCATAATTTAAAGACTGTCACTTCACAAAGCTTTATAATGATGATTATATAATTTACCATTAACTTTTTTTGGAAGCACAATTAATTAGCTTCAAAACCATACAAAACTATTGTCATTCACATAGTATGCATTGGCAGGAGAGATTTTTTGGGACAAAAAGACTTTTCCTAGTACTAGTAAAATCCAGTAATTTATTGTAGGATGGACTGTATGTCATTTACCACGTGACCAATTCATACAAATGTTCCATGAAACAGCATGAAAAAATTTTTTTTTCGCTCTCTTCGACATGCCTAGCAACGACAGTATCAACAACGTGTTGTGGGAGGCTCAGGAGAGCCTGAAACAGGCGGAAAGCAATCTGGGCAAGGCCACTGGAGAGGATGATAAAAAGTTCTGGCAAAAGCAAGTGGAAGTGCAGAACGCACGAGTGGCCAAGTTAGAGAACGCGCTGGTGGCAGCCATTCCGCCAGGTAACGACTCGGCATTGGGATATATGGTAATGTGTACATAGTAATAGGGTAGAGTAGACATAGCTAAGCTAAGTGCATGAAGGCAGTATCAAAAACTTAAATGGCCAACAATGTTACTGGGTTGTCATACCTTCTCTCTCCTGTTTATTGCAACCCTTCATCTCTTATCAATATCATTTCATTGCTTAACTGCGCACCTATTTCTAAATTATGCTCCTTGTTAGTATCTGTTGCTGCATCAGTAGTACTGTCTTTTACCACAACTTTAATTTTTACATCTTTACCATCTTTGTAATTTACATGTCGCCTATTGTTTATCCACCAGTGTTGTTCTTTTATGCATCTAACCACTTGAATCAACATTTGGTATCCCATGTGGCATTGACTAATGCCTTTCTTTATCCAACATTCCTCAACATTTCCTTTATACATAGTAATAGGGTAGAGTGGACATAGAGTACATAGTAATGTGATTGTTGAGAAGACCTATTATAGCTAGAGTTGACTCTTTATTCTACCATTTCATCCATCACCCCTTTATATTATGACCATCAGCATATACTAATAAACGAAAGGCTGAGGAGGAATACATTGTGATTGCACCTAGTAAGTTGTATTTGTTTTATTTTTATTTACAGCAAGAGGGTTTAATAATTTCTAGCTGTAAGCATTTCTGATTAAAAAATTTTTTTGTAAATCCAGAGCGTCACTTTGCTTCTGCTAATGAGGCTTATCCTGATTTTAATTTCTATGTTGAGCCTGAAGCTGAAGTCAAAAAAGTGGCAGAATTACTCCTTGAATGCAAATTCACCCTCTTGTTTGGCCATCGACAAAGTGGCAAGTCTACGACTTGTCATGCAATTCTACGATGGTTCTACACTCATTTGGAACAAATTAGAGAAGCTGGCTTTGATCCACAGGAATTAGAGATATATTTTGTGACTTTCAATGCCAATATTCTTGTTGGTAGCAGGCGTGACATGTTCTGGAAGAGCATATGCAAGAAATTCAAGCTTGTAGACAATGCCCGGTTCAACTTTGATAATAGCCAGCAATCCTCAGGGAACACTTTTATGAGATTCTTTGCAAAAGACAACCCCCTTGTACAAAGCCAAGCTATTATCATCATTGATGAGGCTTCGCGTCTGACCAGCAATGATGATGAAGCCACTATGGCCATTATTACTGAATTCATTGACTCGCTGCGGACTCTCAAGGGTGATCGTGATAATTTTCGCCTCCACTCTCTTTTACTATGTGGAACCGCAAACATTAGGGACCTCCTGCTTGCTCGCCAACGACCTGGCTCTATGTCCTCAATTTCACCATTTTCAGAAGAAGCAAGCTTGACATCCAATCGATTTACTGAAACTGAAGTCCGCGCTCTTTTTACTCAGTTTGCCGACACTAATAATACGGCGTTCGATATAGTCAATATCGCAGCAGATATTTTCGATCTCACTCTTGGCCATAAAGGTCTCGTTGGCGCTTGCGGCGATTATATTCAAAATACATATGATTATAATAATACTCCCATTATAACGCTCGATGATTGGAAAAGGCACACTCCTGTTAAACTGCTAAATCGCATACTGCAATTGTCAACGTATGAATCC